AAAAAGAGAGAGATCCACAAGGGTGGTGATTCAATTATACTTGCTGTACTCAATTGTTGCACCTCTTTTTCCTCTTTCCTTTTTCCTATTTTAGCCATTTGGCGGTATCTGTGATTCTCAGCAGGATTGGCGGGAGTCTGGATTGGACAGATCCCGAAAAGTTATATGAAATAGACATATGATTTGCATAAATCCGAGTCCTGTGCTAAAAGTTATGTCCCTCCAGAGTTTACGACGCTAAATCCTCAGTTTTTCACCTCTTTCTCAACACCGATCGGCTCGGCCTTCCGCCCTCCCAGAATTGCGCGGTATTTATCGGTGAATTTGCGCAGGCGCATGGTTTGCCCTGATAACGGTAAATCCGTCTTGACTGTCTCGGTCGGTCCCCGGTTGGAGCAAGCTTCCCCTCGGCATTCATATAGGAGTTGATCGCGCAGAACATGTCAGGGTGCGATCATACCAGCACTAATGCACCGGATCCCATCAGAACTCCGCAGTTAAGCGTGCTTGGGCGAGAGTAGTACTAGGATGGGTGACCTCCTGGGAAGTCCTCGTGTTGCACCTCTTTTTCCTCTTTCCTTTTTCCTATTTTAGCCATTTGGCGGTATCTGTGATTCTCAGCAGGATTGGCGGGAGTCTGGATTGGACAGATCCCGAAAAGTTATATGAAATAGACATATGATTTGCATAAATCCGAGTCCTGTGCTAAAAAGTTATGTCCCTCCAGAGTTTACGACGCTAAATCCTCAGTTTTTCACCTCTTTCTACACCGATCGGCTCGGCCTTCCGCCCTCCAGAATTGCGCGGTATTTATCGGTGAATTTGCGCAGGCGCATGGTTGCCCTGATAACGGTAAATCCGTCTTGACTGTCTCGGTCGGTCCCGGTTGGAGCAAGCTTCGCCCTCGGCATTCATATAGGAGTTGATCGCGCGAGACATGTCAGGTGCGATCATACCAGCACTAATGCACCGGATCCCATCAGAACTCCGCAGTTAAGCGTGCTTGGGCGAGAGTAGTACTAGGATGGGTGACCTCCTGGAAGTCCTCGTGTTGCACCTCTTTTTCCTCTTTCCTTTTTCCTATTTTAGCCATTTGGCGGTATCTGTGATTCTCAGCAGGATTGGCGGGAGTCTGGATTGGACAGATCCCGAAAAGTTATATGAAATAGACATATGATTTGCATAAATCCGAGTCCTGTGCTAAAAGTTATGTCCCTCCAGAGTTTACGACGCTAAATCCTCAGTTTTTCACCTCTTTCTACACCGATCGGCTCGGCCTTCCGCCCTCCCAGAATTGCGCGGTATTTATCGGTGAATTTGCGCAGGCGCATGGTTTGCCCTGATAACGGTAAATCCGTCTTGACTGTCTCGGTCGGTCCCGGTTGGAGCAAGCTTCGCCCTCCGGCATTCATATAGGAGTTGATCGCGGCAGAACATGTCAGGTGCGATCATACCAGCACTAATGCACCGGATCCCATCAGAACTCCGCAGTTAAGCGTGCTTGGGCGAGAGTAGTACTAGGATGGGTGACCTCCTGGGAAGTCCTCGTGTTGCACCTCTTTTCCTCTTTCCTTTTCCTATTTTAGCCATTTGGCGGTATCTGTGATTCTCAGCAGGATTGGCGGGAGTCTGGATTGGACAGATCCCGAAAGTTATATGAAATAGACATATGATTTGCATAAATCGAGTCCTGTGCTAAAAGTTATGTCCCTCCAGAGTTTACGACGCTAAATCCTCAGTTTTCACCTCTTTCTACAACCGATCGGCTCGGCCTTCCGCCTCCCAGAATTGCGCGGTATTTATCGGTGAATTTGCGCAGGCGCATGGTTTCCCTGATAACGGTAAATCCGTCTTGACTGTCTCGGTGGTCCCGGTTGGAGCAAGCTTCGCCCTCGCATTCATATAGGAGTTGATCGGCAGAACATGTCAGGTGCGATCATACCAGCACTAATGCACCGGATCCCATCAGAACTCCGCAGTTAAGCGTGCTTGGGCGAGAGTAGTACTAGATGGGTGACCTCCTGGGAAGTCCTCGTGTTGCACCTCTTTTTCCTCTTCCTTTTCCTATTTAGCCATTTGGCGGTATCTGTGATTCTCAGCAGGATTGGCGGGAGTCTGGATTGGACAGATCCGAAAGTTATATGAATAGACATATGATTTGCATAAATCGAGTCCTGTGCTAAAGTTATGTCCCTCCAGAGTTTACGAGCTAAATCCTCAGTTTTCACCTCTTTCTACACCGATCGGCTCGGCCTTCCGCCTCCAGAATTGCGCGGTATTTATCGGTGAATTTGCGCAGGCGCATGGTTTGCCCTGATAACGGTAATCCGTCTTGACTGTCTCGGTCGGTCCGGTTGGAGCAAGCTTCGCCCTCGGCATTCATATAGGAGTTGATCGCGCAGAACATGTCAGGTGCGATCATACCACACTAATGCACCGGATCCCATCAGAACTCCGCAGTTAAGCGTGCTTGGGCGAGAGTAGTACTAGGATGGGTGACCTCCTGGGAAGTCCTCGTGTTGCACCTCTTTTTCCTCTTTCCTTTTTCCTATTTTAGCCATTTGGCGGTATCTGTGATTCTCAGCAGGATTGGCGGGAGTCTGGATTGGACAGATCCCGAAAAGTTATATGAAATAGACATATGATTTGCATAAATCCGAGTCCTGTGCTAAAAGTTATGTCCCTCCAGAGTTTACGACGCTAAATCCTCAGTTTTCACCTCTTTCTACAACCGATCGGCTCGGCCTTCCGCCCTCCCAGAATTGCGCGGTATTTATCGGTGAATTTGCGCAGGCGCATGGTTTGCCCTGATAACGGTAAATCCGTCTTGACTGTCTCGGTCGGTCCCGGTTGGAGCAAGCTTCGCCCTCGGCATTCATATAGGAGTTGATCGCGCAGAACATGTCAGGTGCGATCATACCAGCACTAATGCACCGGATCCCATCAGAACTCCGCAGTTAAGCGTGCTTGGGCGAGAGTAGTACTAGGATGGGTGACCTCCTGGGAAGTCCTCGTGTTGCACCTCTTTTTCCTCTTTCCTTTTTCCTATTTTAGCCATTTGGCGGTATCTGTGATTCTCAGCAGGATTGGCGGGAGTCTGGATTGGACAGATCCGAAAAGTTATATGAAATAGACATATGATTTGCATAAATCCGAGTCCTGTGCTAAAAGTTATGTCCCTCCAGAGTTTACGACGCTAAATCCTCAGTTTTTCACCTCTTTCTACACCGATCGGCTCGGCCTTCCGCCCTCCCAGAATTGCGCGGTATTTATCGGTGAATTTGCGCAGGCGCATGGTTTGCCCTGATAACGGTAAATCCGTCTTGACTGTCTCGGTCGGTCCCGGTTGGAGCAAGCTTCGCCCTCGGCATCAATGTAAGGATTAGGACTGCTAATGCAGTAATATGCAATTCTGTCGCGGTATCGTGTTCCGCATTGAAGTCTGATTGGCAGATCCGAAAGTTATATGAATGTATGATTTGCTATCCGAGTTTGCTTTATGTCCTCAGTTTCGAGATCCTCGTTTTCCTCTTTCTCGCTGGTTGCCTCAGAATGCGGTATTTATGTGTTTGGCGAGGTTGTGATAAGGTAATGTCTGTGTCGGTCGGTCCGGTTGGAGCAAGCTTGCCTCGGCATTCATATAGGAGTTGATCGGCAGAACATGTCAGGTGCGATCATACCAGCACTAATGCACCGGATCCATCAGAACTCCGCAGTTAAGCGTGCTTGGGCGAGAGTAGTACTAGGATGGGTGACCTCCTGGGAAGTCCTCGTGTTGCACCTCTTTTTCCTCTTTCCTTTTTCCTATTTTAGCCATTTGGCGGTATCTGTGATTCTCAGCAGGATTGGCGGGAGTCTGGATTGGACAGATCCCGAAAAGTTATATGAAATAGACATATGATTTGCATAAATCCGAGTCCTGTGCTAAAAGTTATGTCCCTCCAGAGTTTACGACGCTAAATCCTCAGTTTTTCACCTCTTTCTACACCGATCGGCTCGGCCTTCCGCCCTCCCAGAATTGCGCGGTATTTATCGGTGAATTTGCGCAGGCGCATGGTTTGCCCTGATAACGGTAAATCCGTCTTGACTGTCTCGGTCGGTCCCGGTTGGAGCAAGCTTCGCCCTCGGCATTCATATAGGAGTTGATCGCGCAGAACATGTCAGGTGCGATCATACCAGCACTAATGCACCGGATCCCATCAGAACTCCGCAGTTAAGCGTGCTTGGGCGAGAGTAGTACTAGGATGGGTGACCTCCTGGGAAGTCCTCGTGTTGCACCTCTTTTTCCTCTTTCCTTTTTCCTATTTTAGCCATTTGGCGGTATCTGTGATTCTCAGCAGGATTGGCGGGAGTCTGGATTGGACAGATCCCGAAAAGTTATATGAAATAGACATATGATTTGCATAAATCCGAGTCCTGTGCTAAAAGTTATGTCCCTCCAGAGTTTACGACGCTAAATCCTCAGTTTTTCACCTCTTTCTACACCGATCGGCTCGGCCTTCCGCCCTCCCAGAATTGCGCGGTATTTATCGGTGAATTTGCGCAGGCGCATGGTTTGCCCTGATAACGGTAAATCCGTCTTGACTGTCTCGGTCGGTCCCGGTTGGAGCAAGCTTCGCCCTCGGCATTCATATAGGAGTTGATCGCGCAGAACATGTCAGGTGCGATCATACCAGCACTAATGCACCGGATCCCATCAGAACTCCGCAGTTAAGCGTGCTTGGGCGAGAGTAGTACTAGGATGGGTGACCTCCTGGGAAGTCCTCGTGTTGCACCTCTTTTTCCTCTTTCCTTTTTCCTATTTTAGCCATTTGGCGGTATCTGTGATTCTCAGCAGGATTGGCGGGAGTCTGGATTGGACAGATCCCGAAAAGTTATATGAAATAGACATATGATTTGCATAAATCCGAGTCCTGTGCTAAAAGTTATGTCCCTCCAGAGTTTACGACGCTAAATCCTCAGTTTTTCACCTCTTTCTACACCGATCGGCTCGGCCTTCCGCCCTCCCAGAATTGCGCGGTATTTATCGGTGAATTTGCGCAGGCGCATGGTTTGCCCTGATAACGGTAAATCCGTCTTGACTGTCTCGGTCGGTCCCGGTTGGAGCAAGCTTCGCCCTCGGCATTCATATAGGAGTTGATCGCGCAGAACATGTCAGGTGCGATCATACCAGCACTAATGCACCGGATCCCATCAGAACTCCGCAGTTAAGCGTGCTTGGGCGAGAGTAGTACTAGGATGGGTGACCTCCTGGGAAGTCCTCGTGTTGCACCTCTTTTTCCTCTTTCCTTTTTCCTATTTTAGCCATTTGGCGGTATCTGTGATTCTCAGCAGGATTGGCGGGAGTCTGGATTGGACAGATCCCGAAAAGTTATATGAAATAGACATATGATTTGCATAAATCCGAGTCCTGTGCTAAAAGTTATGTCCCTCCAGAGTTTACGACGCTAAATCCTCAGTTTTTCACCTCTTTCTACACCGATCGGCTCGGCCTTCCGCCCTCCCAGAATTGCGCGGTATTTATCGGTGAATTTGCGCAGGCGCATGGTTTGCCCTGATAACGGT